GAGAGAGAGAGAGAGAGAGAGAGAGAGAGAGAGAGAGAGAGGAGCGAAGCGGGGAGGAGATTGGCGGAAGCTGTGATCCGATGAATGCGCCTCTCTAACCGCTGCAGTGCGCCGGGTTATGCGTAGGTGCATGCAGTGAGATGCAACGATGCCCAACCATCGGCATGAAATCTTCGTAGTACGACCGCGGTATTCGATTTCTACTGGTCGCTTGTTGTTTTACGGGCACGGTAGTATTATATAAACATACACTTCTCTCTTTCTCCTTCTTTGGTGCACTTTAAGGTTTACCATAGCAACAAGCTTGCTTCAACTTCTAATTTCACGATGTTTTTCCATTATTTAATCATTTACATATATTTTTATCTTCGCTTTTACATTAGTTTTTCGATGAATAAGAGGGTTTTATTTGGTTAAAAAAAAAAACGGTTTTACTCTTTTATAGTACTTTTATAGGAATATCGCCGAAAATTTTGTCTTGTGCTTAATTAGCGTTTTCGCTAATAAGCTAAAAATAACGATTTATTTACAATAACAAAAACGTTAGTCAAGCTGTACGATAACACAAAAACATCTCTCGTATTTATTCTCGTTAAAGAAAACAAAGCAGAACAAATAAAATTAATACGAATGTGCTTCAAATAACATCCGCCGAGGCATTGCAATGCAGTACACAATGATTATGCGCAAATGAGAGCTATAAATCGGTGAAGAAACAGTTATCCAGTTTGCCTTTTAGATAAATATAAATCTATATAGTTAAACTGTTAAAACAATTAAACACTATAAATTATTTTTATAATACCGTAAGATATATTGTTGTATTATCGTAAAATATTATTGCATACACTCTTGCTCCGAGAAAAAGACCTCCGATGTCTATATCTTTTTATTTTTTGATTAATATGATTTCTGAGACATTACACGAAATAATTTGCATTTGAAATAAACGACATTTTGGTATTGATTATATTCAATGTCTATTTAAAGAACTTTTTTTGCAAAACCGCGAAATAAGAGTAGCGGTCGATTTTTATAGAGTGCATAATGTAACTCTTTTGATAAAAATTGTTTCGTTGTCCAGAACTCCATCAGATATAAGATCGAAGTGTTATAAGTCTCATATCTCTTATTAATGTGCAGGTGTGAAGAGGCGACTGAAGTGGAGACGCATCATCAGCAAACGGCTACGACGATGGGCGTCGCTGAGGACGAGACACCGTCTTCCCTGACTTCGTCGCATCCGAATACCAACAACCCCAATCAGGAAGGTGAGTCTGCACATCTATACGTTTAGCGTTTACCGTAACCAAAACACTCTAATCGAGAGTCATAGAAACGAGTGCGTCATTCAGGTATCACGCCGACATCTTTAAATTCTCACGTTCGCGGACATCGCGTAGATGTATCGTGTCGTTATATCTTCCGGCATTAATGGGAAACTTGTCGAAGCGACTTAAACACGTGTCATTAAAATTTTCATAAAAATTTATTATCTCAATAACGTTGAGATAATATATCCAATCATTTTTTACTTACAATTTAGATAAAATCGAGTTTTCGGCTGTCAAATTAAGTCTATAAGACTATTAATAAGTACTGAAATATTATACTTTTATACACGGAAAAAACGGCTGAGGTTTATTTTCTGAGCATTAATTTTTCTTTGAACAAAATATGCCTTTGTAACAATCATAATGTACCCTAATGTTTTTGCGTTGCAAGGATAAAAGTACATCGCAATATATATATAGGATAAAATCCGCGGGCAATGTCCTGTATCAAAAAACTGATGGGATAAGGGACAAAAACACACGCTCTCGAGAACAGCTGGAGAGCAGCAACGTGACTTTCATTCTTTGCGCTTATTCTTATGCAGCACGCGAGCGCTGCACTTAAGTGCATACTGGCGCAAATCAGCCAATTCCGACACGAGATTTTTTGTTTCTTTCGCATCGTTTCATACGTCGCGTCGTACCGAAACTCACCGATGTGGAGTTAGCGCCTAACTTGAAAAAATTAAAAAAAGGGACCGGAAGTACAAGGTTTTCAAAAACGTCCAAGTATAATTTTATCAATTTTAGAGATAACGAAAAACGGCAGGAACTCACCGTTGGGATAATAATTCGTCCTTAATCCCGCCTGTACGATCCGTCGCTAGGACGTGAGTTCCGAGGAGCCACGTCCGATGGAGCAAACAGTGCTAAACCAAGTGCTGTAATCACGCGTGCTCCGTGTGGCGTAACGTAACGTAACCATAGTCCACACGGTCTCACTCTGAGCCGTCGCAACACGATTTTAATTTGAATAAAATTGATTTAAGTTTTATAAATATAAAAAAACGATTAATTTATTTTACCGATCTTTTTGATTTTTAATTACTGCTGAATTCCCACATTGTTTAGAGTTAGTATACTTTCCATCTGGCTTCGTTTCTACACGAAAAGAATTCGCTCATTAATCGCTTTAATCGTCCCGTCGCGGAAGTTCGCAACGCGACACGATGAAATCGCCGTCCACTTCTTCTCGACGGTGACCGTCGCGAAACGGTGTCTTACTTTGCCTTTCATTCCGTATTAGATTGCGATCGCGGAAGGGTAACGAGATAGACAGAGTGCCTTACCATAATCTTTTTTTCTTCCGCGTAGCACGTTCGAAACGTGTTTGGAATCATCGGATTTGGCTTTGCCTTGAAAAATGTGTTTCTCCTGTAAGAGACTTTATACGAAAAGGAAACGTGGGGAGGTCAACAATTCTGAATAAACGCGAACTTTTTAACGCTTCTCTCGTTTCTGCAAAGAACATCTTTTTTTTTTATATACATTTGATACGAATTTTTCATACAAAAACACTCGAAAATATATTCAGAGAATTCACAAGTTATGTTTAGTTAAAAATGTTAGTGGATTGATGTAATTAATACTTTATTTACGAGGATGATACTTAGGTACGTTGTCAATAGAAGGGTGTGTGAGTTGTGTGCCGTCAGGTTAACTTGTTCGGAAGGTATTAGGACCCGCGATGTTAGTTTGAGGGTTTTTCCTAATTTCGTTTCCCTTCATGTTCCTAAATACTTCTTGCTTGAAAGGCTAAATGGCCTCATCTTAAAAAAATATAATGATAAGATTATTAATGTTTTTTTTTAAGTAAAGTTATATTTTTTCTGAGTTTTGTTAAATTCATGTTTTTAATTTTTTATAAGTATAAAATTTTGTATTAATCCACTACAACCGACTAATTATGTTCACTTTTTAATGACTTTTAGTAAATAATATAAATAAAGTTAAAAATTAAAAAAACAAATCGTAATAACCTCTTTTTTTTCGGAATTTAGTATGGGGACGAAATTGGGAACACTTTTTTTGGTTTCGCCCGAGGTTTCGCCAAAAGTAGATACTTTTGAAATTAATTTTTTGGGTACTAACAATTGATTACACAGGCGATTTGGTTTGGTTTCTAGGTAAAGGGATATTTAACGAAGGTAATGTCAAATTTTTGAGCTCTTACATCATTTAATCCGGTCTCCAGGTACGAAAAAGTGACTAGGGGACGAATTTTGGCCCTCTTACCTTATTGGGAAAGATTAATAACTTCTACAGAATACCGAATAGTTTCAAGATATCTCAAATAACATCAAGATATTTGTACATATTATTTTCTGATATCAAACCATCGCTAAGTAAGTATTTATTTTTTCTGGGAGTTTCCTCGATTTTTCCTTCGAAATTTCCTTTGTTATAAATTATTGTTCATATTTCCGTATAAAGTATCGATTAGCGTATATAATTAATGACACGCTGATTTAGCGGAAGCATCGGTCGTTAAAATTGAATTATTAACTCGTGAATACGAATCGTTAGAAGCATCGTTGCACTTCCGAGAATTGAGAGTGGCATTGGTTCGCATCGCGGCACAACTGAACACCCGCGGCTCAGGCTCGAGTACTTGGTTCAATGGACCCGGCGCGCTACATAATTCGCGACTTGCAAAATTACGCGTTTCTGAGAATACACGCTGCACGTACGACGTGACTCGATAAAGACGTGTTTAAAGCACGGCTCGCCATGCACGCCGTACAGAAGGGGCATTGCTAAAAGCCGCATCGGGAGGAAAGGGGTGACCGGGGAGGAGCCCGAGAAGGGAGAGCCATTTTCTTCGTTGAATAATTAAGACAGTTTGGAGAAAGCGAGGCGCGCCTCTAACTATCCCTCTCGTCGCTCGTTCGCTGTTCATAACCGTATCGAGATTAGTCGCGTGCTCAGTGCCGCATTTCATCGCGAATTACTCGCGTTGGCAAGACGAGAAAATTGAATCTAAAGAAATGATGTATGGTCGAATCTTCGTTACGGGTAAATTAATGTCGGATTACTGAATAGCAACAAAAAAAAATATTATAGTAAGGAAAAGATGAAGAAAGATATAATCCGGAAATAAAATATAAGTACGGCGTGTTTTATGTCTAAATTTGCAAACGCGCTATTAATGGTACTAATGGTTTAATAAATCTCTGATCGCATATAAAAGCTTTTATCTTGCGCCTCTTGGACGTTTTTTTGAAAAACCTGTACTTTCGGTCCCTTTAAGGTACAAACGGGTATTACAAACAATGCTCTTTCGAATGGCGCATTGGCCGTTTTTTTCATTATCTCTAAAATTGACGAAACTTACGGCGACGCGAATTCTCGAAATATTCGCCCGCGGTAGGAAAAATCCTCGACGGAGGATATTATCCTGAGGCTCCGTGTGGACATGCACGGCCGAGCACGGTGGCATTGCACGCATGACGTTACATCGCAGTTAGATAAATCCTATTGAAACTTGACGTGGCCGTCGGACAGGACGTTGCGGCGTTTGCGTTGCAACGACCGTATGACTGCCGTATGTGGCTACGCAACGAGACTGCAGGCACCCGACGGTAGATTCAAATTAATTACGGCAATGACATCGTGCCGCCGTGCAACATAAGGGAAGAAAGATTACGCAAGGCCGGAACTTCAATAACACACGATACGCGAGCGCAAAAAAATCTTTATTGAGAAAATGCTTCGTGCCTGATTCTACAACAGAAAACTGTTAAAATCGATTTAGATGAAAAAATTTTAATCGTTTAAAGTGCTAAATTGAAAAATTCTGCAAGATTTTTATAGAAGCGTATATGCATTATGGTGTGCGTAACAATTAAGTTAGCATGGACTACTTTGGATCAATCTGAATTCAGCTTGAACCAGCTTGGACCAGTTTAGACCACTCTGAACTCAATTGCTATATTGACGATTTAATTATTAAAACATTCTACAAATAGCGATCGTGATGAATATAATAGTGATTCAAATATAAATGGGAATTTGTTTCTACGCACATATTATGTATACAACACCAGAATGTTTCACATACTATTCAATATAAGTATATGATCTGTTTTTTATAAAATTAAATTAGTTTTAGGGCACGAATTAAGATATAACTGATCTCACATAAAAAAAATTAAAAAGACATTTAAAAATAATAATAATATATATAATATTTTCTGATTTTTTTCTCAAACTGATTCCATTTTTTTTTTGGTAAAATGGTAATGATATATTAGCGAGATATAATGGAAATACCACACATCATAAAAGTATTACAGAATTTATCTCACCGTTCAACCTGATTTAACTAATATTTTATTTAATATTTTTATTGAGCCAATATGTCGATAGTAGATATCGAATCATTCTATGCCAACCGACGCTCATACTTTCGTTATCTTGACAGTTGAATTCATTGCGTGCCATATGGCAATGACACTTTACGCATCGCGAACTTCAAACAACGTTAAAGCACGTTGGTGGGAGAAGAGAGAAAAGATAAACAAATTAATCTTATCACTGTTTGGCGTTGAACATGACTCAGTCAAATCGATTGCTATTGATTTTTCTATCAGTATAATACAGCGGTTCTATATGTGTTGGCTATTAATCATGCAGAGATTATAGAAATATGATATTTTTTATTTTATCATTCGTGAGAGAGAAATATTTTTTTTGTCTCTTAATATAATTAAAAGGTTAAGTATATCTAACTATATAAAATGAGAAAGTACATATATCTTTATAATATTTTGAAAGAATATGTTTATCGACATTTAAAATATTATTCACACACCAATTCTTATAAAGTTGTATTGTCAAATTCAGTTAAAAGGGTTTTATTCTACAGGGCTGGATATTTAAGACGATCGTTTCTATGTTTATTACAATCCCAAAAATCTCGAAGATTCTCACAATTGTTCATAGCAAGATGATTTTTATACCGGAAAACTCGTTACCAAGTCAGGTTGCAGGTTGATCATTAAACTTGCCTCAAAGAGATGGATGGTCCATCACGATGCATCGATCCAATCTTTGGTTCTGGTTTGATTTTATCATTTATATACGTTAGTCGTCCTTCATTTTCAAGACCGTTAGTTGAGGATATACCTATGCGATCCCGGCACCAGATGATTTGTGATGGAGATTATTGAAACACATATACCTATTGCACTTCAAAATGTTGAGTTTGTTTATGCATGAGTTGCCGTAAAAAACTACTACTACTACTAC